CTCTGGTGCAAATTACTGACCTCTGTCATCATTTTAAGTGGGGGAACTTGCACAATCGGTGGCTGACTAAATACTTTTTTGCCCCACTGTATATATATACAATATGTGAAAAACTGGCCAGAAAATAAGTCAAGTAACCCTTTTTGTTTTTGTTCTATTTATTTATTTTTTATTATATATGTGAAAAGTGTTTGACATATAAAGCTAAAACGTTGCAGTAAAATTTCACAGTAATCATTATATATGTTTAAAAATATGCTGATATTTAATTAAAAAAAAATATTTTCTGCCTTTATGAAAACAGTTCCATCTAGAAACTCCAGAATTTTATTCTATAATTGTCTTTTGCAATGTAAAGTTTTTTATTACTGTGTACTCAAATATGGGAAGTTAAAGTACTGAGGTTGAATGATTTTTTTCCATATTTTAACTAGCCAGTGCTGAGACATTTTTAATGTACCGGCCCCAAATTATAGATCCACATTTATTCTGATAGGGGAAAAAAAAGTTGTGAAAATATTAAGCTAATTGTTTTGCAGCATGGTGGTTAGCACTGTTGCCTCACAGCAAGAAGGTCCTGAGTTCAATTCCATCAGGCCGGGGTCTTTTTATGTGGAGCTTGCATGTTCTCCCCGTGGGTTCTCTCCGGGTACTCCGGCTTCCTCCCACACACCAAGGACGTGCACTTAGTGGGGTTAGGTTAATTAGAAACTCTAAACTGCCCATAGGTGTGAATGTGAGTGTGAATGATTGTCTGTCTCTATGTGCTAGCCCTGCAGCAGACTGGCGACCTGTCCAGGGTGTACCCTGCTTCTCGCCCTAAGACAGCTCCAGCCCCCCTGCAACCCTGAAAAGGATAAGCAGAAGCGAATGGACGGATGGATGTTTTGCAATAGTCATGTTCAAACATTGCCTGAAAGTGGACAGACTATTTTTCAATTATATCTTGAAAAATATATTTGATATATTAAGCTAAAATGTAACTTCACTCATAATATATGTTCAAACTTTGGACCATAAAGGTTTTTATAACTCACCTGTTTGGATTTTAACGTTTAAAGTTTGGACTGTAACCACCTTGATTGAAAGCTGTGCTGACAGAGGAAGGTGTTGCAGTCACCGTCTACTAGACTAATTCTTGTCATTCAACCATGTTACTCATGTTAATGCCTCTTGGAACATTTATGATGGTTTTATTTGAAAAATTAGGTGCTATGCTATGACGTACAGCCTATTCAGGAAGGGCTTCTTTGGTTTGAGAAACAGCTAATATATTGATGTCAGGGAAAAAAGTTAACATGGGCTTAATAGAGCTTTTCACAACTCTATTCAAAAGAAAAGGAAGTTCCATTTTTTTGGATTAACAGTAGGGCTAAAGAAGTCCCAGGTTTCACAAGTGCTGGAAACATTCCTCTGAGATTTTTGTCCATGTTGGCATGATAGCATCACACTGTTGCTGCAAATTTGTTAGTTGGACATGCATGATGTCAACCTCCTGTTCCAACACATCCCAAATGTGCTCTGTTGGATTGGGATCTGTGGAGGCCATTTCAGTGCAGTGAACTCACCGTCATGTTCAAGAAACCAATTTAATATTAATTAAGCTTTGGGACATAAACGATTATCCTGATACACGATGCATCAACAAGGATGGATCCAGGCTTTGTAGCCTCAGTTTCCTGTTCTTACCTGATAGGAGTGGTACCACACGTGGTCTTCTGCTTCGGCTTCAAAATTTGACATATTGTGCCAGAGATTTTCTTCCACATACCTTAATTGGAACAATTAGTTATTTGATATACTCCTGCCTTCCTATCAGTTCGAAGCAGTCTAGCCATTTTCCTCTGACTGCTGATATCAATATCAATTTTCACCCAGAGACCTGCTGCTCACTAGACATTCAGCCCATTTTCTGTAAATCCTAAACATGCTTGCACAGAAAAAGGCACTAGCAACCATTTCATGTTTAAAGTCACTTAAACTGACTTTCTTGCCCATTCTTATGCTCAGTTTGAACTTCAGCAGGTGATCCTGACCAGTTGCTCCAGTGTGATTGGCTAATTGGATATTTGTATTAACAAGCAGTTCCAAAAGTATACCTAATCAAGTTGCCAGTGAGTATAGACTGGAAATGAGTAATACAGGTACAGAAAGTCAAGTAGAAAGTTCATCCAGAGCAGACGAAACTGCGTGCCTCTGCTCTTGTGGTGGCCATTTCTGCATCAGCCTTACTGCAAAGAATCACATCTTGTGTTTTCAGGAGTTGTCACCATAAAAGCTTCTGTGTTCTTGCTGGTCAGGACATCTTTCACAGGAACAACCACTACAAATAATTCATGATTGTTTCTTTCAGGGGAAAGAGGGAGAGGTGGCTGGGTTAGGTGGGGGTGTGCGGGGGTAACAGAGTGCACCGTGCATCCACCAAGATGCACAGCTGACGGGTGCTAATGTGAGTTACTTACATAATCCCATTTCTAGAGAGTCACAAAAATCCTGACCTCTGGTAAATCTCTCTCCACACTGGGGGAAGAGAGAGGGGAAAGCCAGCTATTTGCCTTTTGAATGGCCACTCTGCAAAACCTCTGTCATACTGAGTAAATTTTTATGTTAATCCACCCATCCATGTAAAACATCTACTCCGATCTGAAAGCTGGAGGTGAGGGTGAGAAGGATGCACCTCCCTCTGCCTGATTCAAGCATGTATTCACCTACATGTGTCCACTTTACTTCCAAAGTACAATTATATATTATTTTTTTCATAAAAGGTCATATTTTCTCTTTTTTTTCCTCCACCTAACTTAACCTGCTATTTTTATAAACTTTTCAACAGGCCCCCTTCAAATTTTGCTTCAGAATATTTTAACCTAAAGATTTTGTTGGGTACTGATCAGCAAAGATAAAGCTTATGTCTACACACAGGTAGAAACAGCTGCACCACCCACAGTTATCCAAACACACTCCCTAATCCCAAGAGGGGAAAAAGACTTTAGAAGACATCCAGATGTAGTGTAGCAGTAAGGTGGGTTATTTTGTGGGTCCTCGAGATCTCCCTGGTGGGAAAAATTCAGTGCTTCGCTTTTCCTGTCCCTCTACATCCGGGGTTTAGTCTGTTCTCCTTGTGTTTGCCTTACCCCTCGACCCCTGAAATGATCCCGCTCACATGGGAATGTGCGTCAGCTTGTCTCTGTCGCTCCTGTCCTCGGTGTCCGTCACTTGTTCCGACCTCGTCCCTCTGTGATAAAACACAGTCACCGTAGTGTTCCCACTGTCCTCACTTCCCCTCGTGTTTGTCGCGCAGGAGACGTCCAGCCTCACCTTCGTCGGGCTTTCTCGCTTGGAGTTTCCCGCCTGGTTACTCGCCATTACCGTCTCCACCGCGGCACTCACCGCGGCCAAAAAGCCGCGTCCCCGGCAGCGCAACAGGCGCAGGAAAGCGTCTCTGAAGTCCGCGTTGAACGCATATATGACCGGGTTTAAAGACGAATTGCTCCAGCCGATCCACACAAAGACATCAAAAGTTTTTTCGCTAACGCAGTAAGGGGCGCGTTGGGCCGCCGGAGCAGTTGGTCCGGGACAGAAAGGCAGAGCGCAGTTGAGGATAAAGAAAGGCAGCCAGCAGCAGACGAACACGCCCATTATGATGCTCAGAGTTTTGAGCACTTTTGTCTCTTTTCTGATGGAGACTTTGAGCTCGCAGTGTGACTGATTAGAGGGCTGGCAGTCCGGATGTAGACTGATGTGAGACTGAGACGAGCGCGTGCTCATTTCTGTGCACAGGTGCGAAATCAGTTCAGGAACGTCCGAGCGGCAACTCTGCGCGTGCTCAGCAGCCCGCTCCAAGGAGGATATCATGCGTATCTGCATCTGGGCTATCCGGTAGATGCGTGTGTATGTCACAATCATGATCGCGACCGGGATGTAGAAGCTGATGAGGGAAGAGGAGATGGCATATGTGCGGCTGAGGCTTGAGTCACAGCTGTCAATACTACTACCGTAGTGCGCCAGATTCTCCCCGGTTGGGTAACCGATCTCCGCCCGGTGCCAGTTTAGCTGCACAGGAACGAAGGAGATGACCACAGACACTGTCCAGGTCACACCGATGATGACGGATGCCACCCTCCTATTCATACTCCTCTCATAGCGAAACGGGTTGGAGATGGCCCAGTATCGGTCCACACTAATGACGCACAGGTTTAGGATGGAGGCCGTTGAACACATGATGTCGCAGGCCAGCCAGGTTTTACAGAAGCCCCCGAACGGCCAGAAACCGGCCACTTCGGCCACCGCTTTCCACGGCATCACCAGCACGGCCACCAGGAGGTCCGACAGAGCCAACGACACGATGAAGACGTTGGTTACTTTTGCGCGCAGGTGCCGATAGCGATAAACGGCCGCGCACACCGTGAAGTTACCTAAAAGTGTCCAAATGATGAGCAGCGCCAGAACACAGCCCGTTAAGACGCGGTGCGCCGGTAACCCTTCCCGGCTCCTAGCTCCTACCAGCGCCAAGCCGGTTGTATTATTCATCGCCTCGTCCTGCGCTCGGCCACATATCGAAGTGAAAGTGCGAGAATCCTCGCCACTAACAAAACAAGAGTCTTAATGGTCACCCACAGTGGCGACTGAGTGTCCTGCTCCACTCGGGCTGATCTCAGCTTCTACTCTGAGCGCAAGGCAGAATGACTGGGGACCTGATGCACCACCAGCTATGCTCACTGCTGACAGCACAGCTCCCAGACGCGCAGAGCTGAGAGAAGTTTGCCACCCGAGAAAAGCAGAAATCATGTCGAGCCATTTTTAATTTTCTCTGTGAACAGTTTCATTCTGCATTACTGTTTGAGATTAATCCCTTCCCGGTCTCTCGCTCTCTCTCTCTCTTATTTTCCTAATCTCAGGACTCTTACCATCAGTGGAGACGTTGCTGTAACTAAATGAAAGCAGGATGATTCAACACAAACACACAAAAGACTTTCCTTTACAGATGTTCCCATTAATTTAGGCCAGTTTTTCAGTTCATAGAGATTACAGCCAGAAATGCTGAAACTAAAATCCCCCCATAGAGTTTTATTATTACAATTTTTTTGTTTCATGCATTTGAATCAGGATATTCGTTTTGGTTTTCTTTGTTTGTTTTTTCCTCACAGACACATTCAGTGTCTCTAATCTTCAGTGTCTTGAATATTTATGTATGACAGGAATACGTGGCTTTTTGGTTTATTATCTAAATATGTTTGTCAAGATATTCTGTGTGACAGGCAGAGTGTGGACCCAAATGCAGGACATAGAAACAGTCCTTAACTCCAAAAAGTTGTATTGCTTTGTATTTTAGTATTCTCACAAAAACCAAAAATACAAAAGCCAAGACAGTGCTGGAATCAAAAATGCAGAAAACTCAGAAACTAAGGGAAAACTAAGGGAAAACACAAAATACGGGAGCACACTACTAGAGTGGAGCCTCAGAAAATAAATACACAAGAGGTGGGAGCACAGCTGGAACTAAAGTTAAACTAAACCCTTAACTAAACTTAAATAAAAACCTAAAAAAAAATGACACAAAAGTTACCAAAACAAAACTAACTAACTAAAACAGGAGACAGTCAAAGGAGCTTGCAAAGAAAAGCGTCTGGACTTCTTTAAGTTACTTGAAGACGTTTCACCTCTCATCCGAGAGGCTTCTTCAGTTCTAAGGTCAAATGGTGGAGAGTCCCAGATATAAACCTGGTGGGAGTGTCCCCCCACAGAGGGACAAAAGGACCCCCT